GTGCTTGTTACGTTGACCAAGTCAAAGAGAGTCACACACGGACCACGTGTGGGTGTGGGTCCCAAGCACTATGTCCCTGCCCCAGCAGCAGCACCACCACCTGCAAATGTTTTTGCTCCGGCCATGGCTTTTCCGGCGGCTTCTGGAGGTTGGACGGGGGCTCCTCTGACTCTGAGGCAGCATGCGCCACCTGGCACTGGCGTTTTTCTTCCTCCGGGATCTGGGAATTCCACAGAGGAACAGCAGTTTGAAGAAAAAGAAGGGAAAAAGCATGAAGATGAGAATGGTGGTGACGACCACCACAAGAAACAGAACGGCGGCGGCGATTGAAAGGCGGTGGGGAAAGTTTTGAGAGGGGACCACAAAAACTGCAGTGAGGTTTGATGCAGATTGCAAAAGGCGGCGGAACAAGAGAGTTGAAACGTGACTTTATTATGAAAATTAAAGAAGGAAAAAGAAAGGGGAAACTTGAAAAAAGTTGGGTTCTATTCTATTACAGAAATCTCGTTTTTGTTGTCTTAGTTATTAATTAGTATATCAACTCTTCCTCCCTTTTGTTCTTTATAATCAATTTTAACATATTGTTAATCTACTACATTCTGTTAATTGTTATAGAAACCGGACTCGTGTTGGTCCGGTCTTTGGCAAGGCGAAACCGAACCGGTCTTGTATGGTCTTTTCAGTGGAGTTCTGTTTTTGATTATTTTTTTTTCCCGCTTCGGATAAATGAAAAACTCCTCTCCATTAAATCATAGCATCACGGACATTTGCACCGATCAACATGCACCTTCTTGCATTTAATATTTCGCCACTAAGAGAAAAATAACATTCCAAAGCTACACTACTAGTAGATCCTTTGCCATTGAGGCTATTACTCTATATTGATCTAGATGTTCTCTTCGTTGCCACCGTTTTAGAATATCAAATTGTGCAAATTCTTCCGCACTTACATTACAAGCGTAGTCGGTTGCTTTAAAAGTTAGAAGGGATAATGCATTTAAAGGGTAACATAGTTTTGATTGTGCACATATTTACTCATTTATGTTTATTTTTATAAATATTTAGTCATTTATGTTTTTTTTTTGTATATATTTAGTTCCTTATGTTTTTTTATTTTTATTTTGTACACATATGACCGTTATGTTTACAAAGGCAAAAACATAAGTGACTAAACGTATAGAAAAAAACATAAATGATTAAATATGTACAAAAATAAACATAAATGACTAAATGTGTACACAATATAAACTATGTTAACCTTTTAGTGCATTATCCCAAATTAGAAATCCATTTAAAGACATTTGAACTCCTGAACATTTTGATTGAGAATAGTGGTCAAAGCATGAGGTGTCGATATTTATTAAATTAGGTGATCTCAAAGAAAAACTAGTTTGATGAGTCGGAGTATAGAGACAAAATGTCGTGATTCACGATTTACATCTCGACTCGAGTATTCATTATCATATATCATATATATTGTACAGTTATTGAATACAATGTTCAAAATTTATTATATTTCCTTTTATTTTAGTGCAATTTTAACATAAAAGTTGATTGAGAGTAGTTAGAATTTCGATTACACCTTTAAAACTTTAATATGTATTTAGTGCCCAAGAAATCATAAAAATTAGTGGTAACTTTTCACAATATTTTATAAGTGTTGTTATCATTAGAGCAAAAATTAGCTTCCCATTGTCTATCTAACGATTTAAAGCTGGACAACGTTTTTGATATTTGACAAATACTAATCAAAGTAACGTTAAAAGTTGCAACATAAACTTGTGATAGCATAATCATTGCTTGATATAATACTCTTAAAATTGTATATAACTTTTTAAGAAGAGTCTAACTGATGTGTATGTTGTGTTTGGGATTACGGGAAAGTTTTTTCTTCTATGGTATTAGGTTAATAGTTCTTGTTGTTTTAACAAACATTCAATCATTAGGTAAAGAGAGTTCCACCTATTTGGCGTATTCACATTCAATCTGAAAGCTGTTTTTCCTTTCATTTTGCAAAAAAGTTTCAATTTCTCAAGTTCAATCACTTCCTTTCTAAACGTTTCCTCATTTAATGTTCTAAATTTTGAAGACATGTTCTATTACAGAAACATTATTTTGAACCATCAAGTTGAAAATATGACAACAATGTACGAAATAAAAAGAGCTAGTTTTATTCAATTAATGGTGTTATTGTTATTATTAGCATCGTCTAGTGATATAGGAAAAATATTATCTTTTATGTTAAAAATGCTTACTAATATTTTTATTAAAATATCATATATTTGTTCACCCTCGTTAGGGAAATTCTCTTTCCAAAAAAAAAAAAAAAAAATGATAGAACGATATCATATAGAGTAGTCTAAATGTTGCTAGTTAATAACACTTTACCCGTAACTTTATTTAAATCTTTGATGAAATTTTGAAATTTCTCTCATAGTGTCACGATTTAGGATAATATGCTTACTTGACAAAAAATAGTTGTAAAACTATTTTGATGAACTTAAGAGCATCCACAATGAGAGTTTAATAAGAGTTGAATAGATGATAACTAGGATTGAATAGAAGTTTAATGGAGTGTGAATGATGACATGGATGAGAGTTGAATGAGATACGATCATTGAGTGGTTCAACAGATTTAATTTTTTCTTTTCCAATTAAATTTCAAACCAAATATAGAATTTCATTAAACTTTATAAAGTTTAATGAAGTGTGAATGTTAAAGAGTATAGTTGAATAAAAAGTGAAATGTTGATGTGACAATCGATTGAACTCCATAGAATTGAATGTCAATGGATTGTGAATGCTAAGATAACTTTTGGCCTAGATAGGGGTGTAAATGAGCCGAGCCGAGCCCGAGCCTGACCAAGCTCAAGCTCGGCTCGTTTAATTTTGAGGAAGCTCGAGCTCGGCTCGTGAACAATTTAGTGGGCTCACGAGCCTAATCGAGCCTAAACGAGCCTCTATGTGTGTGTGTGTGTCTATATATATATATATATATATATATATATATATATATATATATATATGTGTGTGTGTGTGTGTGTGTGTGTGTGTGTGTGTGTGTGTGCGCGCGCGCGTGCGTATGTATGTATGTATGTATGTATGTATTATATATATATCTATATATATATATATTATATATCTATATATATATATATATCTATATATATATATATATATATATATATATATATATATATATATATATATATATATAGGCTCGTTTAAGCTCGTTTAGGCTCGCGAGCCCATGAGTTGAAGTTCGGCTCAAGCTCATTTAATAAACGAGCCTCGTATTTAGGCTCGAGCTCGGCTCAGGCTCGTTTAATTCGATCTCGAGTCGAGCTTTTAACGAGTCGATCCCGAGTAGCTCACGAGTAGCTCGGCTCACTTACACCCCTAGGCCTAGAGTAAAAATTAAAAGAGCGTCTTTCTTTCTTATATGGCTAATCTCCCGCATGCTATTTGTGTATATGTAGTCTATAAATTGACATTTCTCTTTTAAGATAATTCATAATAATTTAAATTAAATTATAATGAAACTAAACCTAAATTATTATAGCACTTTAATATGTAGTTAGTCATTTTAATATTTTAATTTAATTTTTAATTAATTATATCTATTACTTTAAAAGTAGGGATGAGAATTTGGCCAGAAAACCCGAACCGAACCGAGAACCGAACCGAACCGAATTATACACGAATAAGCAATTCGATTCGGTTTTCGGGTATTTATATAAGGTTTATTCGGGTTTCGGGTTATTCGGTCCGGGTTACCCGAATAAGGGCTTATTCGGTCCAAAAGGACCGAACCGAATATGAAAAGTCACATTTTCCCCCCTTGCACAATTGCTTAATCGGTCTTGTGTTCTATCGATCGTTACCCAAAATACCCACGTAATACACCAAAAAAAATCAACGAAATCGATTTGAGAGTAGCGTATTACACCAAATCGACGACATTACCCTATTGTATCCCGTATGGTAAAAGGTATAACTTTATTATTTGTATACTTTTTTTTATAATTATATTTTAACATTTTCTATGTTTATGTTGATAGATATTTTGGGACTGCAAATCTCTACCGTGGCGTCAGAGGCGGCGTTTAGTACTTGCGGGCGTATATTGGATCCATATCGTACAAATTTGTCTGCAAATATAGTAGAGACTTTGGTTTGCACTCAAGATTGGGTAAGGAAATCAAGAAAGCCAATTATGGACAACATTGATGAAATTTTGAAAGACGATGGGGTCGCGAAAGCTTTAGAAGAGGCGATAAAGAACGAAGATGGAAAGGGAAAACAAGCAATTAATATTCCGGAATAGTTAATTCGTGTTTGAAAAATATTATTTTGGATATGGATAAAAACTTAAGATTCATATTTTAATTTGGGTGTGAAATGTTTAATGTTTAACTTATATACTTATAGATAAATTTTTTGGTGTTTTGGATGTTTAATGTTTAATATGTTGCTTAATAACTATATCTTAAGATTGTGGTGGTTGGATTTTACATTTTATATATCAAGAATAGTTAATCCGTGTTATTCATGTTTATCATAAGCTACAAAAGTCATACCAAATACAATATTTATAATCACATTGTAAATGTTATTTGGGTTATTCGGGTTATTCGGCTCCTTAACCATCTTGTACATGTTATTTGGGTTATTCAGGTCGGACCCGAATAACATACCTACTTAAAAGTTAACTACTGCTTGGGATTGGTTTGGAGCCGTTGAAGGCCAACCCGAGACCTCCCGGATGACCGTGACCGGATTTCTAAAAATGAAAACCAACTCCAGAGTCGGTCTAGAACCGGTCCTTAACCGTCTATTTGAGGAGTGCCAGAGTTGAAAGAGTCCTAACTCTGAAATTAAAACTCAGGTATACACGTGTCACGATATAGCCTCCACATGTCAATCCATAAACGCCACGAAGGCCATTCAAAAGCCCACACTCCTTACTGTCAACTGTGTGTGTGTAACTAGAAAGGACGATGGGGCTGAAGAGCACCGGCCGGAAGTGGTTGACAGAAGGATACAAAAAGGTGGTGGGTGGTGTGGTGAACCGAAAGCAGCAGAGGTTCGGAGTTCTTGACGGCCACCCCGTCGGTCAAGACCATGCTCAAGCAGCAGCCGAATCTCATCAAACCCTAAAAGACAACATCAAAGCTCTCAGAAAAGAGTTCAAAGTCTACAGATGGAACCCCGATCACCCCTCCCAAAAACCCTTCCTCCAATCTTATTTCCTCGATCTCACCACATGTGGCCCCATGGTACGTATATATCGATCGTAATTTTACCTTAACAGGATCAATCAAGTTGACATTTGATTAACTTGTTGTATATAGGTTTTGGACGCACTTCAGAAGATAAAATCAGAAGACGATTCAACATTGAGTTACAGAAGGTCATGCAGAGAAGGAATATGTGGTTCTTGTGCCATGAACATCGATGGAACCAACACAGTCGCATGCCTTAAGCCAATCGATACAGACACCAGTAAGGCTACATATATCACTCCTTTACCACACATGTATGTCATCAAAGATCTGGTTGTCGATCTCACCAATTTCTATCACCAGTACAAGTAAGATAATCCTTTTGTACATGTTTATATATAGAGACGTCGATGATCGTGTTGGCTAGTATAAAAGGTTGAAATTGTACATAGGTCGATTGAGCCATGGTTGAAGACGAAGAAGCCTCCACCAGATGGAAGAGAATACAGACAAACACCAACACAAAGAAAGAAACTAGATGGATTATACGAGTGCATACTGTGTGCTTGTTGTAGCACGTCTTGTCCGTCTTACTGGTGGAACCCTGAGGAGTTTGACGGACCTGCGGCGTTGCTACACGCTCACCGTTGGATCTCCGACAGGTGGTAATTTAGGGCATGCATGCACCCAATTTAAGCCGTTTGATTGATCATCTTCTTGATCTGAGAATTTGTTTTGTTTTGTTGATCATAGTCGCGATGACTACACGGAGGAGAGATTGCACGCGTTAACTGAGAATGACAAACGGTTGTACAGATGTAGAATTATAAAGAATTGTACAGCAACATGTCCTAAAAGCTTGAATCCTGCGCTTGCTATTCGTCAAATGGAGGCTACGAAGTCTGGGAATCGATTTTCTGCCCGTATAGCAGACTAAGGTAGTGTTTGTTTTTTGTCTGCAGATCTGCGTGGCCTCTTCTGTTTGCGCAGCGCAGACCACGCGCAGACATTAGCCTTCGCAGACTGTTTGTTTTTTTGAAGACTGCAGACCTAAAAATGTCTGCGCGCCCTCTTCTTGGCGCAGATGTGGACCAGAGTCTTCTAACATCTTCAGACATCTTCTAGCCTAAAAAAACATATATATCTTAATTTTTTTTAAGTTTTTATTTATTTATATTTTTCCCAACTTTATTAATGATAAACAATTTGAAAAAAAAAATTACAAAACTTAAAAAAAAACGTTCGACGATACAAACATTATATTTTTGACAAATTTATAAATAAAGATTTATTACAATAATAATCGTTGGAGTTGTTTATATAAATATGAAAAAAATCATAATATATTCTTATATTTTTTTGCCAAATTTTGTAAAACATTATTTAATACAGTATCGTCAATTTCTCGAGAAAATATTTATGGTACGTTTTTAATGGATTTAATTAAAAAAAGTCGAAGGTTATTTTTATCCATTTATGTATCAAATTCTTGATCACTAATTATAATGTTTAGTTATAACTTTGCAACCAAAGTTGTTGGTTTTTATCAAATATATACGTTAATTCATACCATTTTTATTTTTATTTTTTATACAATAATACATAAAACTTGATCTAGATTCGTTAATTATTTATAACAAAGTCATAAAAATATTAAAAAAGCACTTTGAAGTTTAAAAAAACTAGTTTATTTAGATTTCAGTTTATTTTAGTAGCCCGCAGATGTTAAAAAACAAACAGACTTCTTTTTTCAGACTGCAGACGTTTGGTCCACCTCTTCTACTGCAGAGGTCTACAGATGTGGTCCGCAGACTGCAGACATTTTGCCTCAGAAAAAACAAACAACACCTAAAATATGACCTTGATTTGCGACATGAATGTGGGATTCTAGTTGTTTTGATGTGAGACAATTGGAATGTATTTGATAGCCATGTGTAGTTGTGTATGAACAGAGAGTTATGGACAGTTGCTCATGATTAAACATCGAGGGCCTCTATATGCATGTTTAATGTTTGTTTTTTCACTTTAGGATATATACACTAAAGTCCCAATACTTTCATCGATTTGACAAGAAAGTCCTAAACTTTATTTTTTGACAGTAAAGTCCAAATTACCGGCAGTTTTTGACACTTTTACCTTTTTTTTCCCGGTTAGCCGGTAATTAGGATTTTTTTTGTCAAAAAAATAAAGTTAAAGACTTTCTTGTCAAATCGTCAATTAGGACTTTATTGTCAAAAAAATAAAGTTTAGGACTTTCTTGTCAAATCGTTGAAAATATTAGGACTTTAGTGTATATATCCTTTTTTTTTGTTAGACTTATTAAAACCTTCTCTAGTCAGCTAGATCCTATTGAAATCCTTAACATTTGCTTCTTGTTAAATCGTTTTTTTAATCTCAACAAACCGACATTGAAAAAAATGGAGATAATCAAGAAAGAAAGAAAGAATCAGGGTTGTGTTGGCTTTTTGCAGTCCCCAAAATGGAGAAATAAGAAACCGAACAACTCGAAATTGCCTTGGCTTTATACAAACACAAACAACACATGCCTAGTCAAAAGAGTGTGAATGTGGAGAAGGGAAAGAAAGGCAATTTCGTTTTTTTTGGTTTCTTATTTCTCTATTTTTTGGACTGCAAAAAGCCAACACAACCCTGGTTCTTTCTTTCATGATTATCTCAATTTTTTTCAATGTCGGTTTGTTGAGATTAAAAAGCGATTTAACAAGAAGCAAATGTTAGTGATTTCAATAGGATCTAGCTGATTAGAGAATGTTTCAATAACTCTTATGCTTAAAGAGTATCATACCATTAAATTTCTAACAATATATATATATATATATATATATATATATATATATATATATATATATATATATACACTAAAGTCCCAGTATTTTTAACGATATGACAAAGAAGTCCTAAACTTTATTTTTTTGACAGTAAAGTCCTAATTGACGATTTGACAAGAAAGTCCTAAACTTTATTTTTTTTGACAAAAAAGTCCTAATTACCGGCTAACCGGAAAAAAAGGGTAAAGTGTCAAAAACTGCCGGTAATTTGGACTTAACTGTCAAAAAAATAAAGTTTATGACTTTTTTGTCTAATCGATGAAAATATTGGGACTTTACTGTATATATCCCATTCACTTTTGGTTTATTTTCTTCATTTCTTGAAGCTTGTTACGTTAAATTGGAATCACTTATTGCTATTAATCAGATATTAAGTCTTTGTTTTCTATCTGATTCGAGGCATTTTAAATCAAAGCATTTTGACGGGATGTCTAAAGTCACAGACAAAGTAAAGAATGACAAAAAAGAAAAATTGAATCTATTATATAAAAATACAGTTTGAATGTAAAAAAAAAAAAAGGATAAAATCTCAATATTTTAAGTCACTTTATTTAATTTTAATATTTATTTTTTGAAAAGTAAAGTTCGATTATTGAATTTTATATGATAATATGTCATTTTCTGTTGAAAAAAGTAAGAGTTATTTCATTAATTTGAGCAAAATATAAAATAATCAGAAATTTTCTATTCTAAAAATAAAAGTTGTAATTAAACCCTAGCCCAAAATATTTGGACTTTATCGGAGATTTCTCTAAGAAAAGATTGTATTAATATGGGTCGTCGATGTAAAAGCACGTACAGTTTCCATGTAACAACATGTATCTATGCATAGTAAATATATAATTATTTATAAAAAAATTATTTATATGTAAACAATTATATGTATATAATGCTTATTAATACAAAATAATACATACAAATTGTAACATAACAAAAATTTCATTTTTAATATAGCGATTCGAAAAACAATTTATAAGAAAACATCATTAGGTTATTTATTACATAAAACCATAGGTCAAGTGTCTCAAAACCATATCATAATAATGTCATAGTACAAATCCCAAGAATCTCATATGCGGAAATCATGTGTGTGATGCGCGTGCTACCATGTCGGCTCCTTTCCCTTCGAAGAAGAAGGACCTGAAACAAAAACTGTAAACCGTAAGCACAAAGCTTAGTGAGTTCCCCCATCATACCACATACCATATAACATACATACTGTCTATCATATCCGGGTACTAATCTACCCCTTCGGTCTCTTTCAACCGGTAACTGCCTAGCATATCAGGGTGATGGCCTACCCCTTCGGTCCTATCGACCGGTACCTAGCCTAGCATATCAGGGTGTTGGCATACCCCTTCGGCCCTTTCAACCGGTATCTTGCCTAGCATATCAGGGTGCTGGCCAACCCCTTCGGTCCTTTCGATCGGTACCGGGGACTATTTCACCCCTTACTGCCTAGCTTATCTAGGTGCTGGCATACCCCTGCGGCCCTATCGACCAGTACTGGAGTCTATCCTACCCCTCCTATCACATATCACATAACATCATAGCATACTAGCACATAATCATAACAGATAGCAACATATCAGATAATTATCACAAAGACAATCATATCTACTATAACTCTTACTAGTGGGCCGACCTTGGTGCCTTAGACCCACTTCTACTAGAATGTAACTCACCTCAATGTCGTGCAGTAACTGAATTGTCCTCGGTGCTGAGATCAACTCTCCTCAAACTCCTACATATAACAGTCTGCTTGGTTACTCCTCATTCATATCCCCTTTAAGGGTTAATCAGGTCAAAGTCAAAGTCAAAGTCAACACCCTGGTCAAAGTCAACACTCTAGTTGACTCAACTCGCCGAGTTGGTCCACCAACTCGTCGAGTTCCATAGATCAGAAATCTTTGAAATCGCGATCCAACTCGACGAGTCCTTCCACAACTCGTCGAGTTTCTCCTATCAACACTATCGGGACTTTTCCATTCAACTCGTCGAGTCCTCCCTTTGCAGAATCGGGACATTTGCTCATAACTCACCAAGTTCCTCCTTGGACTCGTCGAGTTCTTCAATCTTTCATTCCAAGAGCTATGTCCAATTTGCTGAGTCATCTCCTAGACTAAACGAGTTCACTCAGAACCAGAAAAGGATAGGGAACCACGACCCGACTCGCCGAGTCGCATAAACAACTCGTCGAGTCCCCCATATGCCAATTCCATACAGTCGATTTTTGCTGAGTTTCAAAAGAAACTTGAACACAAGAAATCACAACATCAACAATTCTTATTTATTAAGAACCAGAAGGTTTTCAAGAGTACTTACATAACAAAACCTCACTACATATCTCTCTTCTCATTACAGAATAACCTCACTACAAAGTCACTCACCTAATCTACACTCTTACGAATAATATGAATAAGAACAAAATAAACGTAAGAACTAGAACCCTAATGATCAGATAAATATGAAATGATCAGGAAGAAGATAGACTCGTATATTCTACAACTCTCACATACGCAACCAATATATACATCTGACTAGTCAATCGGGCCACTGACTATCAATACGGATCGGATATGACCCGCGTGTTTCATAACTTCACTATATCATCATTCCAGTCCAATACTTTCACAACTTGTACAAGATATACCCTTCTGCACAAAATCATAATAAACACAAGCTATATATATAAAAATAAATGAACAAACAATAATTAAAAGGATACTCAAAAGGATATAATGAATTATAAGTTTGTAACATTAACTTCTTATAATTTCAACACCCCTCCACAAACTTATAATTCAAATAAGTTCAACACTTACTCTGAAAAGGATCAATAAGACCTAAACCTTTACAAATCCATTCATGCTGAGCAACTCCCAAAGGTTTAGTAAAAATGTCTGCCAGATTAAAATCTGAACTCACCTTATGAACTTCAATAACACCTTTTGATACCCTATCTCTTATAAAATGAGTATCAACATCAAAATGTTTTGTTTTCTCATGAAACACTGGATTATGTACAGGTTTTATTGCTGACTCATTGTCACAGAAAATGGAAACAGGAGTTAAATCTTTTAACCCTACA